ACAACGCACAGAAAGTAACTGACCAGAGAGAGCAATAGGCTTTTTGATTCACACAATTCACCAGAGGTGGCAGAGATGTTGTGCGATGAGATGCCGGCCATTAATGCAAAGGAAAGCCGATAACACATTGTCAGCGTGTTTCAAACCCTCAGCCATTTGTCAAGTTTTAAGGACAGTGCGGCGCAACCTCTGGCCGGGCATAATTTCCCGGCTTTATTACATGGTAAATGTGTTATTGGTTTGTTTTGACATTTAAAAAATCCGGCTACATCAGGGCTGCTTTCACACCCACCGCAGACCGGACCATGGAAGGGGACAGAGCATTTTCAAGAGGACCACAGTCCGTTTGTTTGATCCAGACCATGGTTCACTTGCGCGGTCACCCAGACCAAAGGAGTGAGGGGACCATGGTCCTTTTAGAACGAACCAAAGAGAACCTAGTGTGCATGCACCTTGAGTATTTCCAACAAATCAAAAGAGAATTGATTATTCTTTAAAATCTGTGATTTAGCTTCAGTTCTGGGCTCTGGCACTCAGAGTTGTCGAAAATGAACCAAAACTGGGTCACAGGGCTGGAGCTGTTGCTTGTATTCAAACAGAAAATCAGCATTTCCCTGTCTCCCCGAGCAGGGCACACACAGGTCTGAGGATGGGGGCTGATGCTTGTTTCCCCACCAGAAATGATGATTCTTTTAAAATGTGTCACCATCAACAGCCTGAAATCATAAAAGCCATTATCCTGATGGTTACAGGGACAATTCAGTGTGTTTTCACTGTGTGATGATATTGCCACTCAGCTTGAGAAGGGTCCAAGGTGCCAGACACAAAATACATATGTGATTAACTTAAGGAGAGGTTTACAGCTCATTTAATCTGTAACTCTTAGGTCAAGAAATATTGTTAAAGGGGACCTGCCATCAAAAATGTAATTTTGTGTGTTTTTGTGTCAGATAAGGTCCATATTTTGTTCGTCTTATGTTGTAAATGTGAAAACAAACCATTACATCGTTTGCATTCTGTAAAGGTTTAAAATAAAGAAACAGGTAAACCAGACCAATTGAAAAAGCAGGTCCTTCTGACGTCACGCCGACCTTGCTCATTATTATTCATGAGCGCGTCCTCGGTGAGCCGCGCCCACTCTCTTGTTCTCGAACTCATTCACAGTTAACATCACTCTCCAGCCAGAGCGAGACCCAGCTACCACTGTATCCGCTATGGGTCTCTTCCAAACGACCGGTGTTTCCTTGGGTTCACTGCCGGGAAAATGAACTTAAAGCTGGACAGAATGAATGAGAAAACACAGCTGGAGATCTCCGGCTTCTTCTTCAACTTCCACCTCCTCTTCGGACTCGGGGTCTAAAATATATGGTTTAATACCTGCCGTTTTTAGCCTTTAGCATTAGGTGACCAGACGTCCCCGATTTCCGGGGACAGTTCCCAAAATGGGTATGAAATTTTGATGGCAGGTCCCCTTTAATGCTGGTTTGACTGAAAAGACTTAATGCAGAAGTTAGCAAAACAAATGACAAACAAGTACAGCAAACAGCTCTGTCCTTTTTTATTTGCCCTCAACTTCCTCTGATGAGGATTCATTCACTACCTGACTTCCTTTCTTGGGTTTTGGCATCTCAGTGTCCAGGTCAAAGCCCATCATGGTAGCTGTGGAGCGTTTAGGTTCTATCAGGGATGTACATGCAAATCGATCCCTGACTGCATTATCAAGGTGTATTAGTCCAACTCTGAGAATTCGACACCGTATAATTGCAGTTGGATGAACGTATTCGCATCATACGTGTATCCTAGGAGTCCATTTTGAGTCAGACTGACAATACTTTCTAACATCATGTAAATACAGTGATTGAGAAAAAAATTAATTAAATCTGCAAAACTCATACATTTAAGAAAGTGCATTTAAAACTGTAAAGTTACAGTTTTGAATTTAAGTCATTTTAAGGTTTCTGCTTTGTTTTCCCAGCTCTGGTGTCGTGTTGCCATGATGAAAAATCCAGCCAAGTTGCTTTTTCTGTTGAAAAAGAAAGAAAGAAAAGGATGACTTTCTGTTTACTGTCTTTTTTCTTCATCCCTCCATGGCTCCCTTGGGTTCCTCTTCCTCTCACTCAACACATTAATGGGTTAAACAGCTGAAGGCTGTGTGTGTTTTCACTGTGGTGAAGATTTGTCTTGGGAGCTGTGGTTGGACTGGGATAGGATGTGGGAGGAGAGTGTGAGCAGATATCCAGCAGGAAAAACAGTGAGCAAGAGAAAGATGAAAGGATTTCTAAGGACAGGCAGAAGGATGAAGCACGAGGCATGACTGCAAAACATACATTTTTCCACTTGCTATGTACAGATTAAAATTCCTCAACTTTGCCCACTCTTTTTGCTTTATTATAACAGGTTTCTGCAACTAGATAGAATTATAGAATAGAAATAAAGCTAAATCAGAATATTGTGTAAAATATTAATATATGTTATGGGGGAAGTCATGATCTGTTGGAAGTCCAAACAACAGATGTTGCCCTCATAATAACCTGACCATTTAATGGCACTCTTGATTTGACCTTGACCTTTTTGACGTGTGCAGCAATCAAAGCTGCCCTGAGCAGACAGTCACAACACCAAGTAATACATGAGAAGCGCCTTAGTATCTGGACCATTCACCACGAATAACACGACAACAGTCAAAAACCAGGGCCAGGCTCACCCGGCAGCAGAGGGCGCTTCATGGTGCTTCATGCAAAGACAGCATGTAAGATTAGAAGGAGGGGTGCACGCAGTGTTTCAAATATCAACACACCATGCCGGTCTGTGTACAAGCATATCTAAAGAAGTTTGATGATGCGTAATTGCCAAGTTAAACTGTGTGTTAGCTTGTTTGGCAGCTGCTGCCTGCTCTGCTTCTCCTCAATATTTTCAGAAATTGTTCAGCACACAAAAAAATACCAAAGTCCCCCTTTAACATATTGAACTGCTCTTGATTACTGAAACATTTTTGAGGGCGTACAAATGCACACAGAAATGTCTTAAAGTTAATCTCCTCTGTTTTTATGAATGGACAAAATACCTTTAAAGGCAGAATTCAACTACACTGAGTCTGGCTTGGGATTGCTTTGATTTTGATATTGTTTCCCACTACCAAACGATGAATAAAACATTGTTGGATCATGAATTAATAAGCATGATGGCGGGAATTAGGTTGCAGAGGAATTAAGGCTTATCAGACAAATTTATTTTATGCTTCATTATGCTGGCTAGCTGGTAGACTGCAGAAATCGTATAATTCACCAGGATTGTGTGTCTGTATTTATGTGTGTAACTTTTCAATCAAGCAGCTGTTTTTTGTGCGGACTTTTGGACAGTCTGACCGCGGTTGAACCTAATTCATTACAAGGCTGCATTTCTTTATGGAAGTGTTTTCTGTTTAGAAAATCTTGTCAACCTGTCTTAACATTTTCAGCCTTGAAATTCAAACTTTGAAGGAGGTAGTGAAATTGCTGAAACAGGACACAGCTTGTGTGTTTACATGCAGGTTAATGGAGATCAGATGTCTCAGATTTTCTCCTTGCCTGCTGGTGTCAAAAGGTCACAATGTTGCCTGACATGGTGCCACAATTGGATTTTTAAAGAAGAAAAAGGGACTGAGAGGAAACTAGGGAGGGGTAATTCTTTATAGCCATTCTTGAATTGTCAGTGAAAAAGTGCAAAGTGGGGAAATGAACTTGAAACTTGCTTTGCAAAAATCAAAACTTAAATCAAGCACCAAGAGACATGTGACCATGCATAATTCATCATAATCTGCGCTCTGCAGTCTGATGTGTGTGCATCTGTGAACAAACAAGAATATGTAAGGAAAAAAAATTAAAGAGACAGCAAGGGAGAAAACAAGAGATAATAAAAACCAGAAGGAGATAAAGAAAGCTCATTATATTATCTGGCCGTGAGTGAGTGAGTACATAAAGCGCTTTGATTAGTCTGACCCACATCTTCCTCTGACACGACCGTCTAATCAAAACTCTGACCGGCTGCAGTTTATCTCTCTAAAGAGGGGGATAACCAAGGAAAAGGAGCAGAAAAGTCTTCATTGCAAACACTTTACATCCATTCCTGCATTTTAATGGCCATTTTGTGAACACTCGTAATCCAATATTTAAGTTTATATTCAAATAGATTTCTAATCATGGTTGCAAAAAAGAGGTGAGGTTAATAATGACATCTGTTTTTTGCTGTCTGCTCAGTCTTCATAGGCATCTTTGAAAATCTCTATTAAAACGCTTTGAGTGTGTACAAAAAGACAAAATACTTTGAAAAAGCAATGTTTTTTCACCTCCATGTGAACCAGGCCTGAGACAACATTCAGACATCCAATTGACTTCCAGCAAATCCATGACTCCAGATGGTATTTTGCTTAAACTACAAAAAACTGGCTACAAAAACTAGCAGGACCAGACTTGGAATCAACGGGTCAAAGATTTTCAGGGGCCATTGAAAACAACCTGCATGAGAGGAAACTCATCACTGAGGTGGAGCAACATCAGTTCTGTAATTAGCTGGAGTGAGACGATTTGGCAAAAATAGATATAAAAAAAAGGATAAGATAAAAGAGGAGATGGAGGGTAATCTAGAGGGACAGAATTCAAGCTCTTTTGAAAAAAGGTGGTGATAATAGAGGGATGTAGGAGGAGGATATGGGAATGAAAGAGACAACAAAGAAATGACCCCAAAGCAACAGGATGAAAAACTCCATTTAGGCGAGCTCCAATCAAATAGACAGCATGACTGGGAGATGAAAAGAAGCCAATGATGAGAGGGAGTCAGAGTGCAGAGCTGAGAGGACAGGAGATGACAGGAGGAGGGAGGAGAAGGAAATTGAATTGAAAGAGTGAAGAAGATATTAAAGTGGAAAGAGATGGGAAGAGGGAAACAGTAGGCGGTGGAGGACACTGAGGTGGACCAGAAAAGACCCTCATAATGAGATCTAAGCACAGTCAAGTTTGAGCAATGAAAGAGTATTTTCAGTGAATTCAGTCAATCCAGACAGAATCACAGCATTTGAAGAGAAAACAAAAGACAGACGGTGATCATGTCACATTCACTGACTCAAAGTAGTCTGGACATCGAGGATAGTGGCACAAAGAGCGAACATGGGATAGTGGAAACATACTTGTCTAAAAACTATAGTTCTTGGTGATACCACTGTATACTGATGACATCCATCATGTTTCCACAATAAATCAAAAACGTGATTTAATTTGAACAAGGAAAGTAAAAATTTGCGTCCAAAACTCATGCAGGTTCATGCAGATTTGGTTAAGTGAGACTGGAAGGGATCTGCAGAAGGTTGCTGCAAGGTTTATGTGTCTGAATCATAAAAGCAGAATTATTGGAGACAAGGGGGCTGGAAAACATTTCCCTTTTCTCCAAGCATATGAGATGAAATAGAAACTAGCTTGGAGTGAAGGGTTGTGGGAAAGACATGGAGAGACAAGAACTTTAGACCTTTTGTGATTCCCTAGATGAGAAAACCATGCAACTGTTTTAAAACAAAGCCTATTTTTTCCCTGACTCTTGCTCTGACTCTTCTTTGTGTAAGAAAACAACCCCATTATTTTATGATCCCCCCAAAAGCAGCTCAGGATACACAGATTTTACCAATGAGGGCATGAAATATTCTCAAAAGCTAAACATAATTCATCCTGTTACCTGTTGCATGTGGTTGAAAATATTTCTACCTTTGAGCTCCTACTCTGAGTCTTGGTCCCTCGGTCATCCAACCTCACCCAGTCTTGATGGGTGAACATATAACAGAACAACAAAATATATTGAACTCCACAGGGCTTATCATGTAGAATCTTGTTTATAGACATCTGCAGCTTGTTGAGCAGCTGAACAGAAAGCAACAGACAGCTGAGTAAGTGGAGGTCACAGTCCAAAACAAGTAAACTAAACAAAAGCAAACCTGGTGTCCACAGTTTGGTCCAGAGCTGCATCTGGGGGCAGAAATCAGAGCTGTTCAGTGTCACTGAATCTGACTGAAACTCTGCTGTAGCTGCAGAAATGTTGAGATAAAAACTTTCAGATTGCTAAGCTAAAATGCAACATTGGACTTCTCCGCAAAAGCTTGATGCATTCAATGGTAGATCTGTGAAAGACTTTGGTCAACCTGCACTTAACCAAGTAGCAGCAAAGTCTGGTCTCTCTCTCTCTTTTTTTTTTTTTTTTTTGCAATTTTTACACTGTTTTTTATGTTTTTGTCATGTTTTGTCAACTACTGATAGGTCTTTCTGCTGGGAAAAGAGCTTTCATTGAGATGGAGTAAATCTGGACAACATCCAATCCCAGAGGACATCTGGAAGTGTTTTTTGTAGTTGGAGTGCTGGTGTAAAGGTGAAGGCCAAGTTAAAGGCTTGTAAATGGAGATATAGACTCTTTCAGTCATTATGGGAAACTTCAACTCTGCCTAACAAAAGTATTGGTGAAGACTGAGAAAGCATACTGTGAGTGCAGTTTTACTGAAAACCTGGTTAAATCAAAACAACTCTGATTCCAATGTGGATCTACCTGGCTTCACTCTTAGAAGGTCAGACAGAGATGATCAAGATAGTGGTAAGAAGAAAGGAGGAGGTCTGACTTTATTTGTTAACCAGAGATGGTGTAACTCTTTACACATAACTTTCACAGAGAAGTTGTGTTGTTGGCAGTTGTTCTTTGGCCATATTATGTTCCAAGGTAGTTCAGTCATATCATAACAATACCTTATTTGTTTACATCCAACCCAAGGCACTGGCTGAAGTTCAATGTGATGTTCTCCATGACAATTGCCAGTATACAGACTCAACATGGTAACGAACTGGTAGAAAAGGCTGGCACTGTGGTTGGAATCAAGTTGGACTCACTGAAGGATGTAGAGATGCATACTGAGGAAGGTGGAGGCCTTTCTAAAAAGTTTCAGAGTAATGTGGTTGTAGTTCTGTCTGTCTGAAATGTCAGGTACCTGCTTTTTTTAGACTTTTCTGTTTTTTAATTAATGTTATCCAGGACCTCGTTTCTTGATTTCCTCCTAGTTTTGTTCTCACACAAACCTAACAAAGACATGATGAGTTTCATTTGCAGCCAAGTCCTGTCTGCTCTTCTGTTAATGATAACCTGCACTCACTCGCAGTATAGCCGGAAGCACACAAGTGTAAAGGGAACTTGGAGGACATCTGCACTAACTTGGAACATATGCAGCCAAAGGCACTCTCAGCAGACTCACATGTAATGAGGAGCACTTTGACAATAACCCCTGCTTTGACGATCGGAAGATTGCCGGTCTAACTCACAAACCCATTGGCCAAATCAGCCTTGAAGGACCTTGAGAGTGATATCAGCCTCTAATCTTGAAAAAATCAGTGCTGATTATTATAGGCACCACTCCACCCAAAACTGTGCTCTCACTTTTTAAGGTTTTTATTATCTCTTGTCATTTTAAATAATCTTCAGTCAACAAGGGACTCTGATTTGACCAAACTTTTGTTGTTGTTAAATTCCCAGAGAAAGTGCCATTTGTGTCATTATTTCAGGAAAACCACCGCAAGGATATCACTTTTTATCATTTTTTACCCCATTCAATTTATATTTTGTAAGATTTTAGCACCTATTCATGTTCCCCGGAGACTGCGTCGTCCTCACTTTGGTTATCACCCAACTTCTCATCTTCCTCTTCAATTAGAAGCAGATATTTTTTTGTGTATTTAACCTAAACATCTTAAAAAAGTTCTATCTGCTGCCTTGACATCTAACTCAATTATTCATGCTCCTCAGACTCTTTGTTGGTGTGTTTTTAAGCATGTTTAAAGGCTGTCTAGAATTTACAAGGTTTAGCCTTTAAGGGAAGAAATACAGATCTTGCCAATAAGAATATTCACTGTGTGTTTTTGAAACCACAAACTTGTCTGCACATGCTCATCAAATTATAACACCCATAGTAAACATGTCTTTAATATACTACAAGAGACAACTTCATATTAAGCATCCAAATCCATCCAGTAAAAGCACCAATAGTCTAAGCTGTGGTGCCTCAAGATGCCAAACTCTGAAATGAAGCAGTCAGGAAACCTGTCTCATTACACCTTCTACTGATTAAACGAGTCAAACATCAGAGCTGGGAATGTCGTTACACCCAAGTTGACGGCGTACCAGTAAACAAGTCAGAAAACCAAGATGGATGCCTTCTGTTAGAGCGTCGCAAAGTGAGAGAAGCATGGAGGCTTCGGACATGGAGCACTGAGGTGCGAACTCTGTGAAATGTTTTTAATCACAACCCTGAGGACTGTGTTGAAAATTTTATCTGCACTAAATGTGATAAAATTAGAGAATTGCAGGATATACTGCTCAAAATGCACACGAAGCTCTGTCAAATCACTGAGCTAAATGCTATTTTAAAGAAGACGTCCAAACTTCAGGACACTTTTAATGCCACAGTTTTAATTGATATCAGAGTCAGCTTAGACAACAACAAGCCTTCAGTTCTGGTGCTACTTGACTTGAGTGCTGCCTTTGACACTGTTGACCACCAGATTCTTTTACATAGATTAAATGAACATGTGGGCCTCACAGGAAATGTTTGTTTTCTTCGTACCTTTGTGACAGAAAATTCCTTGTTTCAGTCGATAACCACTCTTCTACACACCGCAAGGTTACCAGTGAGGTGCCACAAGGATCAATTTTAGGACTGTTACTTTTTAATTTGTACATGTTACCTCTGGGTGGTGTCATCAGGAGACACAGCATCTCTTTTCACAGTTATGCAGATGACACTCAGCTCTATGTGTCTGTGTCTCCTGATGACAACAGGCAGTTGGAGTCACTTTTAAATTGCCTTTTAGATGTAACAGCCTGGATGTCACAGAATTTTCTGCAGCTCAACCAGGACAAAACTGAGGTTTTAGTAATTGGTTCAAAAGCTCAGAGAGAGAAACTGACCCCCAAACTCCACAAAATAGGACTTAACCCCAGCCAAGAAGCACAAAATCTCGGGGTGGTCTTTGATGCTGATTTTAACTTTAAAACTCATGCTAGGGGGGTCACTAAAACAGCCTTTTATTATCTTAAAACATTGCAAAAGTACGACCGTTTCTCTCTCTGAGCCAGACAGAGAGACTAATGCACGCTTTTATAACCAGCAGGCTTGACTGCTGTAGGCTTGACTACTGCTGCTTGAGCTTTGACTAGGACCAGGGAAGGAGCTCATATTACACCCATTTTAAAGTCTTTGCACTGGCTGCCTGTAAGTTTTCGCAGTGATTTTAAAATTCTTTTACTAGTTTATAAAGCTCTATATGACCTGGCACCAGAATACCTTACAAAGATGATTTTACTCAATGAATCAGGACGGCCTCTCAATCTTCTCTTTTAGTTGTTCCACAGAGCAGAACAAAAAGATTGAAACCGTAAAATGTAACCTAAAAACTCATCTATTTAGCCTGGCTTTTATGTGAAGCTTCATTGTTTTAATTACTGTTATAATTAATTTATTTGTAGTATCACTTTTTACCTTATTTTATTAATAAATTCAAGTTTATATTTTATTTTCTGTTTTAGTCTATTTTAATAACTTTTATTTTTCTTGTCCTGATGTAAAGCACTTTGTGCAGCAATTTCATTGGTATGATCAGTGCTATATAAATAAACTTTGATTGATTGATTGATTGATTGATTAGTTTTGTTGCTTAGTATATGGATCCTACTGTCTCTCGCAGCCCAGGGTAGATGGGATGGATGGGCCGTGAGAACTAGAGAGTACCCCCCTCACTCAGGTTTGGTTATGTTAGGCCAATGACACCTCAGAAAAGCTGGCAGTAAGGTCTGGTGTCTCAAAGGCATCTCCCTCCACGCAAGCCTCCATCCATCCACAAGCAGGACCTTCCCAGGTTATAAACTGATGCATACAGCATGAGATATTCCAAGAGATAGCATCATATTCAGCAAAAATATAAGATATTTCTTTGATATTTTCACAGGGGGGAAATTCCAAAATTACAGCAGCATAAAGGATAAAGAAACTTAGAGTTAAAAAAGATGTATACATGAGTCATATTTACTATAAATACACATTGTACAGCATATACATATAATTATGACTTATTGCACACTGGGGTTTCTGTTGTGGAGTCTTACAGCTGCAGGAAGGGATGACCTGTGATACCTCTCCGTCACACGCTTTGGTTGGAGCATCCTATCCCTTAAGGAGTTCCTCAGTGCAGTGAGTGTGTGTTGGAGGAGGTGAGAGTCTCTGTCCAGCATGGATGACAGCTTGTCTGTATTCCTCCTCTCCCCAGCCTCCTTCACAAGATCCAGAGGGCATCCCAGGACAGAGCTGGCCTTCCTTATAAGTTTGTCCAGCCTCTTCCTGTCAGCTGCTGCTCTGCCCAGCAGACCACTCCATAGGAAATGCAGAGGCCACCAGAGTCATAGAAGGTCTTCAGGAGTGCCCCCCGCACTCCAAAAGACCTCAGCTCTCTGAGCAGATAGAGTCTGCCCTGTCCTTCTTTGTAAAGTGCGTTGGTGTTATGAGTCCAGTCCAGTTTATTCTTCAGATGAATACCCAGGTATGTATAAGACGTCACCATCTCAAAGTCTCTACCCTGAATGTTCACTGGGGATGGGGGGGGGGGGGTTCTCTAGCACCACTCCACAAAGTCCCAGACAAGTTCTCTGTATGCCCAGTCGTCCCCGTCAATGATGAGGTCGGCAATGGCAGAGTCATCTGACTTCTGCAGGTGGTAGATGGGTGACAGGTGGGAGAAGTCTGTAGTGTAGAGGATGAAGAGGAATGGTGCCAGTACAGTTCCATGGGGTCCCCTATACTACAGACGGCCGTCTTCAACACACATACACTTTCAGCTGATTCATCCTAAACCAGCTGAACCTTCCTCATTTGATTTCAATTGGACAAACTTGCTTACATGCATTTAAAAAGTCCAGTTTCAGTCAGTCAGGCTATTGCAATAAATCGATTTTTTAAAGTGAATACAAACTTATTGTATGAATAGCACTAGTTTACAAAGCCGTTCTCTGCACCCAAGTTCATTTCGGGCAAATCTTACCATGCCACAGTAAAAATACTTAATATCTTAATATCTAAAAGCTTGATCATGCCAGACCTAGTATGTACCCATGGATATTTTTCCTCATTCTTTAGTCTTTGTTTGGACATTTTGTTTTCACTCTGCAAGCACAAGCTCCCACATAAGTAGAGCTTTCACTCCTCTTCTTCATGTGTGCGCTGTACTTTGTCCTTCCACCTCTGTGGCGTCTGTTTGGCTGACCGCTCTCCATTCTTGGCTGGCCAACAGGAAACAGAAGAAGCAGAACACAGCCAAATCCTCAGAGTGGTAGGAGGTTGAGTATTGGGTGATGAATTGCCAGACTGGAGAAAGGGAGGGCTATGAAAGTGGGTGAAAGATATATTATGGGAGGTGTAGGAAAGGCAGTAAAAGTTCCCTGAAACACAGCAGAAACGATAAGCAAAGAACTAGCGTAAGTTTTGCTGTAGCAGTCTATGACTTAATCCCTTCAGCCCATCCCAGTCCCTTTTTTGGCTGGACTGGGTCATGGTTTCCAGGTTGCTGACCCTGAACTGGAACAAACTGCTAGATTTTACAGAGACAGTGAGTCGGTAAAACAGCTGGTAACAGACAGTCTTTACGAGAAAGTGCGGTTTGTGCTTGCTGTATAATTAGCTGCCCTACCATTGGAGCCATCCTTTCAAAACAAGCGAGTTTAAAGACTTGTCACAAGTTTGTTTATGAAATGGAAATCCCCTCTTGGTTGGTCTTACTCTATAAGATTAAGAGATATCTCCTCTGTGTTTGGATTCTCGATGATAACCTCAGCCAACCTCCCATCTCAAATCAGCTCTCGATCTTAACTCACAAAATGTCTTGACAAAACTATGTGGTTGTCAAAGAAAATTGTTGGTATCATTTTTGAGGTTTTTGGTTCAGACCATGCCGGCTGGGCCTCTGAATTACCCAGAACACCCCCAGATGTAAGATCTCACAGTGGGTGCCCCACTCATTCATCTGGAAAGAAGAGTTTTTTTCTTCGAACTCTAAGAGAGTGACAGAGAGGATATAAAAAAAAAAAATCCAGTTATTTTTTTAGATATTTCAAGCTCTAAATTTGTTTTTATTAAGCTCTGGATTTGCTTTAGTATTTGTGTGGAGGTTGGCAAAAAGTAAATGAAGGAAAGTAAATATTTTAAGTTTTATTAGCTTATCTTATGATGACATATGCATTTGGAGTTCTGTCTGTCTTTTTGATGCAGTTTATCAGCTGAGAAAGATAAGGCTGCTCGACCTTCACAGTAGGGTTCAAATATGGTATGTTTTGCAGCTGAACAATGTTTGTTTGAAAAGAGGGGTGGGCAAAAATGGCCCCCTTTAAAGACAAGGTTCCTCATTATCACCATCAGTTTTTTTTCTTTTTATATAGCACCAAAGTATTATCCCATGATGCTTACCAAAAAAGCTGGTCTAGACCATACTCTGTTTATAATGACCCACTGAAATGAATGGATAAGCTTGAGCCCCATCTCCAACCACACGAGTGAAGCATTTTCCAGCACTCATCAAGTTACAGTGGAGAGGAAACACTTTCTCGAACAGGCAGAAACCTTGAGCAGAACCAGATTCGTGTTAGACAGTCATCTGCTGAGACAGAGCTGGGTTTAGAGAGGGAAGAGAGGAAGATGGAGAGAGAGAAAGAGTGAGAGATGGATAGAAGAGAGACTGGTGGAGGGAGATGCACTCGTAAAGTGCTTTCAAACAGTTTTCCGCAGTAAGAGCTGTAATGACTGTAACTTTGCCTTGGATAAACCAGATTAGAGTCACTGAGAGGAGTTTCTTTTCTAGTGTTGATTCTGTCCTCCTGGGATAAAGACTGCATTCCCCATGAGCACCGTTGCCTACTATCCTTCCCAGCGCGTGCATTTGAAGTGGAAGCAAATGAATGGAATACAGGTTATGTTTTTAATGCAGCTTTTCTTGGTTCAAAAATCTTTTTGCAGGATGCAGGGGGATGAGGCAATGTAATGAGGTCACTGTTACTCTCAGCTGGAGGGGTGAGCAGGGAGTGTTCAGTCTCGAATCTGGGATATGGCAAAATATTCTCATTCTGTGCACTGTGCCTTTAAATGCCTGGGCTCAAATGCAGGGTATCCAGAGTTATAGACCTTTTTCATTACATTTTTAACTGGCCTTTTGAAACACCAAACACCCCCCAAAAAAAAGAAAAAAATCAAGGCGACTGTCAGCTGGCTGTTTTTATGAATTCAACAAGGTCATTCTTATGTGAGCAACTTTATGACTGTTTTTGCATTTTAAAAAATCTCTTACCTAAAAATGTCTTATCTCTCTGGGGACCGCTCTGTGCTGTTGAGTTCAAATAAAATGAAAATACCATTTTGAAGTATTACAGAGAAAAAAATATGCGTAAGAGATACAAAGACTAATCTGTATCTCTTAAACATAATCCCCATTACATGACGAGCACATATTTTCTTCTGCTTGTCTCATCTTCTCTCCCAAATTATCTTAACAGAGCATCATCATCTTATCAGAGATTGATGGAGAATCAGATTTGAGTCTGGAAGAGATATGGGTTTGTGTTAATGACAGCAGTATTCAAAGTGTCAGCATGATTTAGGGACTGCAGTTGGGAGTTTATGAGAGGTGATAAAATGTAGTTATTTCTGGTGCTGAAGGAAAAGCAGTTGTTGCTGTCCAGAAAGTGAGTCATGGACAGAGGGGTGCAAAATGTGGATTGAAGAGAGAAGGAGGGAAATAGCTGACCTGAATTTGTGTTTGGGTGGTGACAGTTTCCTCATGCTACATTAAACTCTGTGTTATAAAACCTCAACAAAGAGACACAGTGTTTAAGTGGTGAAATGGTGGGCCTGGATAAATAGTGTGACTAGTTTGACCAACTTTATTTAATTGAACTTGTGCCAATTTATTTAACCACTCGAGCAACAATTGAAGTCAAATCTTTCAAAACTAATGAAAAAATACAAAACTGGTGTTTGTTTTAAAGGTCCCCTATTATGAAAAACCCACTTTTGGGTGGTTTTCAACCAATAATATGAATCCCCTCGAAGCCGACCCCCCCAACTTGAAAAAAAATAATTCTCTCCCTCTCTTGTTTTCCCCTCCTTTCTGAAAATGGGCAAATGGAAAAGCTGTGCGGTTATGACAACATAACCACATAAGCCCCTCCTACATGTTGGAGGCAGCGTCCCTGATAATTATTAGCCCAGCCCTCTAAAACTTCTTTGCTGATGTAGCGTCCACCATTTTGGCCCTCACATTCACCGCTCCGGTACAACGACTATGTCTAAGCTACGACCCAGCCGCTGTGTGATTCTTGGCTGCACAAACGAAGACAGGATTTCTTCCTCCTTCGTCAGAAGATTTAAGGACCCAGTGGATTAATTTTATTTTGATGGAAATGTACCCACAACAACTCAGAAATTGTTGTATGTGTGTGCTAACCATTTCAACACGGACTGTGTTACCCACAGGGGCAGGATGTGCTAAGAAGCTGAAGATAAAACCTGGATCCGTACCGACTGTCCGTGTCAGGGACCCAACTTCAGTTAAGTTTTACCATTTTATGTTGCTTTACCACTGCCCATATAACTAGTGCTTTGGCTACAATCGTGTGTTTTCCATTGTTGGTATTCGTCTTTGAACGTGCTTCTGTTCACTTTTATTCCTGTGAGCAGCGGGTGTTCCTCGGGGGCGCAGAGGCAGGCTGGTGATTCCAACTGCGGTGGTCTGGAGGTCCTCTGAAGAGGTCCTCAGAAAATCTCCAGACCACCGCTCCTGGACCACCGCGGTGGTGCTGGCAGTTCAGAGTGGCCTTGGGGAGGACGATAGGGATGGGCACGGCAGTTCTTTCAGATGTACCGAATCACTAGAATCAGTTCACTAAAAAGATTCGTTTACAGAATCATTCAGTGCTTGGCGGGAGGAGCCTGTGACTCTGACTTCCTGAACAGATACACTGCTGAACGGTTCAGGATTCAGTTCAGATCATAGCTTCTGGGACCGGGAGACGAGATTGTGCTGTGGCTGTGTTGCTTTGACAGACAGGTTTGTAAAAATGAACATGTTTATAAATCATGATGTTTGAAGTGTACTGTCCTATGGTATGCTATTTATCTACTCTGTAAATTCAATGAGCGATTTGTTCACTGAAAATTTATCCCACTGTACATTCTGTGAAAAATTGACACTGAACCCTTGCAAATCACAATAATGACATGATCAGACAGTCACGCATTTCTCTAAATGCGGGTTTTATACACTATTTGTTACATGCTGTGTGCTGCTATATATGCAAGTTGTTGTAGTGGCAATTTAGCAGAGTTAAAAAAAGGTTAGTTTTCCCAGAGGTACACTTGAACACAACACATCCCTATCTCCCTCCGTCGCTCCTGTCAAGAGCAACAGCTGGTGAGTCTCACTCTCTTCTCATTACTACCAGCCTAACATTCTAAGTTTGTTTATTTGGGAACTAAATCTGTTAAAAACAGGAAACAACAGTCGCCATGAAAGCGTATTCCTCAGACAAAAGTGATTCCAGAGAGTGTAGTTCACTGCGCTTGTTCACCAAGTGATTCAGGCATCTGCGCTTGTAGTCCCTCGCTTGCTGGCTGCTCGCCCAGCAATGCTGCATGCTATGGTTGAGGCGCTGCTGACAGCTCAACTTAAGTGAGAAATGAACAAATCACTTGAGGAAGTGATTTGGTTCAGTATGTTCACATAAAAGATTAGGTTCATTTGAACGAATCATTTGCGAACGACCCAACACTAGAGGAAGATGTTTACACACAGCTTATTAAAGGTACAGGCGTATAATCAGCCTGTTCTCAGTGGAGCTCAAAAAGAGGAGGGTACAGGCTGGCTGATATCCACAAATATATTGGTGTTTTAGACAACAAACTTCAAATTTACTATTGTGGGACCTCTGGGACCGATTTAAACTTGATGAAATATGCCATGATAGGGCACCTTTAAAACTTTTCATTCTCGAAGTTGAAGCCTTAACTTGATAATTTTCAGTTGACATTTATAAAAGCATCAAAGCCACTTTAAGCACTGTAATCCCTTCATTTGGTACGTTAAAGACTACATGCACTTAAAAAAAATAGTGGTAACTGGACTTTTAAAAATGCATGTGGAGACATTAGACCAACTGAAATCAAATTTCTCATAGACGGCCTAACACACCTGGATAATGCAGTCAGAGATTGATTTTCTCTTGCATGTACATGGCTTAAATCCAGCTAAAACTTTGCACGCCGGACTCTGAGCTGGTGGTTGAAAAAATGGATGCCTTGCTGCGAGCCAGATAGTAAACCAAACCCTGCAAAAGAGACCAAACTTTCCCAACAAACAGCACACACTCTTGCTCAAGGGTTTTGTTGGCTGTTTTGATAGGCTACGTCACATCAACCCATAGAAAGTGGGAATTGTCACCTATTGTAGCAACATACCCAGTGTGTGTAGACCTGAGCTGCTGAATGGTCGGATGCTAACATTACCTTCACATCTAGCCACTCCCTTACAAACTTAGCCTTACAGTAAAATTGAAAAATTAAGTTCTACTTCAAATTATCAAAGCCTTCATGACTAAGGTTATGCACACCATGACTCCCTAGCTAATGCTTGTAGTCGCAAGGAAATTGCTGAATGCTAATATCCATTGAAAGCATTGGGCTTTGCTTGAGATGAACCTTTGAGCGCTTTGTTCTTTAATGATAGAAATCAGCCGCACCACTGCCAGCTTATTTCATGTTTGTTACATCATACATAATGTTGGGGGTAATGCACAACAAAGGAACGAATTACAGTAACAATGTTACTTTTTGAGGTAACAAAGTAAAGTAGTGCACTACACTAAAAAAATTGGTAACTTAATTACGTTACTAAACAATAGGAATGCGCCTTTCATCAGTTGTGTTTCCCTGTGTGCAAAGTTTTGATGTGTTGAAGTGGTTGTGCGTGTGTGCTGCTTGTGTGTCTGTGAAAATAGGCAGGGGTTTGGTGCTCATAAGGATCAACTTCATCTTTTTTATTTTTTCTTGATATTAAGCCTGTGGACCATTGTCCAGCTTGTCACTGTACCCTCTGACAGTCTTTTCTTTTGCGAGATTCATTTTTCTAAGGTGTTTTTTTCCTCACTGTGTCACTATCTTGCAGCCTTCCTGTCGAATGTAAACAAAAAGTTGCCTGCAAAGATCGCGCTTTCTGAGCCATTGTGCATTGCGCAATTATGTGCCTTTGAAAGTCCTATGGAGAGATCGAGTTGAGTGACGTAGCTGCTGATGCAAAAAAGAGATGGAAATGGAGAGTATACATTTATACAAGAAACAAAATGATGCAGACTATGTTCAGTGATGATTGGGCTATAATGTTTGCCCATGTACCTCTATACGGTAAATTAAGAAACGGGAGAGTAAAGTTATAAGTAATGAACTTTTCAAATGCAGTAACTAGTTAAGTAATCTCATTACAATTTACTTTTTATGAGTAACTACCCCAACACTGATCATACACAACTAACTTCACATTCACATACAGGCATGTTTTAGCTAAAGACAGTGTGAGCTACGAGCCGATTATGACATTTGCTATTTGTGCATTTCAGTGAATTTGATGAGTATTCCACTTAAATCTTATCTGGTTCAACTTCTTCCACTGTGATGCTTGTAAAGTTATTTCAGATGAGCTTCCCTGACGCTGGCTTTGACTTTCCTCAAAGTAAGAGTGATGGATAGAGTTATTGGAGGGATGGTATGGGAGGAGGGGAAGCAGAGGCGATGATCAGTGGAGCAAAATGGAGGTGGAGGGGGAGGAGGAGGAGGAGGGGCATAAAGTGATCTGACTTTTGATGTGTTGTGATGAGAGAATGAGCAAAGGTGTGTGTGTGTGTGTGTGTTCTTATCCTGAGTGTGTGAGTTCTAAAGGAGAGAGAGAGAAAGAGAGAGAGAGAGAGAAAGAGAGAGAGATATCTCCTCTGCAGTTCCTCCTCTCAGTCTGACACCAGCAGGCTGTTTTTTTCCTCCACGGCTGAAGTGAAACTCTAGCACCAGGTAAGAAAAGCGACTGGGCTCTGTGACACGATGTTACAGCGACTCTGTGACAATCCGTCTAGCGACTGAAACGACTGTGCATAATAATCTCGCGGAGCTCTAGAGGTAAGAGTAGCAGGAAAAAAGAAACACCCGGCGGCGCGTTTGCGTGCTTGCAGAGACGTGCAGCATTGAAGAAGTTATTCACAAAGTCGCCAACTCAGCAGCTGTTTTATCTTTTTTTCCCCAAAAAGTTATCTCTTTAACATCATCGTGCATGCGCACGCGCCGGTTTACTGGCACGTTCCTCAAAGTGCACGGTGTGTGTGTGTGTGTGTGTGTGTGTGCGTGTGTGTGTGTGTGTGTGTGCGTGCGTGCGCGTGTGTGCATGTGTGTGTGTTACGCTTCGAGATGTGTGTGAGGTTATCCGGTTTGCAGCTGCATGCCAAACTGATGCTCTGGCTTTGTAGACGTGGCTTCCCCGTTGAATACATTCTGAATCTTTTGCATGTGTGTTGTGGTTGGTTTACTGTAAAGCACTTCGTTAGCAGCGTGTAAGCGCTGTGATCACGGTGTCAGCTGTGCACACGGCTCCGGGGGGAGTCGTGATCAATGGGTGGAAGAGGTGACGTGAGGTTATGGTGGGCTGTGGAGGTTTAGGCACGTGTTGACTCCTTTTACACGAAAAGGTCCGGAAATACCAGGGTACCTGAACGTTGCAAACACATCGAATTCTATGGATCTTTTAAACCAGTTTCAGGATGGACAGTGGTTCAGGATATTTGCCATTAGACTAAATTACATTAGATAAAAAGGTCATGTTTAGTTACTTGTAAAACCAGCAGGCATTAGACCTACACTGAGCAGGAATTGCCCATGTGTGAGGAGTATGGATATTCTTTGGATTAAAAAATGTGTAGTCTGAAGGTTTTCAGTCGTGATCAACACATTCATAACAGCAGAAACATTTAAAATAAGTCAGTGTTTCTGGTTTTACAACATCAGGTCATAATAAAACTAATTTTTTGTTAAAAAATATATATAGTGTGAAGGACATGCTCACTTTAAGTTATATGCCAGTAATGTGGTTTAAAAGAGTCATACAGTTGTGTAAATATCTTAGAACCAAGGAGATCATTTTTGGCCTTGAGAAGTTGCCAGCATTCAAGGATAATGTTTATGTTTGGTTTTCTTTTTGCATTTTAGAATGCATGTGATGAATGGTGTTATCTGAGGCACCAAATCACAACAATTCAGTGATGGTTTTCAACCATGTCACATTTGTACAAAGATTTCTGCAGATTTTCTAAATTTGTTATGATATTTTATGCTGAAGACGATGAAATTCACAAGTTTTTTACAGTATTTTGATAAGAATTGTAATATGTCTTCACACAGTCTCTCACGGAATGGGGAACCTCTTCCTCTAAACTTTACTGATGACAAAACACAGCCTTTCTGATGCCCTCTTTAAAACCAAGTTATGTTGTGAAAACTATTCCTATTGAGTTGCATGAGTTTGTTAGTGTTCCTGTAGGTGTTTGCATAATACCACTTTTTCAGCATTCATTTTGCCTGTTCCAGTCTGGCATCAGTTATAATGTGTTTTATGTTATATGTTTTAGGAATTTTCCAGTTTCAACATTTGATGTGTTGTTTTTGCACTATTTTTGATAAAATATGATCTTGAATAATTTTCCAACCACCAGAATCTGTTTTAGTCTACATTTTGCACACTTTGAGATTAAGGTTGTGTGATTGTTTTCCTTGACATTCACTACGTTGAAACAACAAACTCAGGTTATACCTGTAAAGTTTGTATTTCCTCTATCAGCAGTCAGATGATATAGCAGTGCTCCAGTTGTTTTATTTTCTCATAGCCATGCTCCATCTATCATCTCAAACCCAGTTAACACTCATCCATCACTGTAAAAGCTCTTGGAAATGTCTCTGCTATCTCACTCCTCTGTCTCTCCTTTGTTAGTGCTCTTTTTCAGTTTTCTCTCTTATCCGCTCCTTGCTTTGTTTTCTCTTCTCAATCCTCCCCTCTAGAGGATTTGCAATACACATGTGTGGATTTCAGAGGCTAAACATCAGGAAGGGGGACAGAAGTGTGAAACTGAGATTTACTGTAAACTCCAAATAAATGAGGGTTTGTTTTGGCTCAGCGTTTTGGTTGTTTGATCCCTACATTCCATTTATTATCAACTTTCCCAAAGTAACCAGCTGCTATTTTAGTAAATAAGCTCTGATGCACTCACTGTGTACCACCTCGATCTCATCATATAACAGATGTAACTTAAGAGTTGAAGCATCTATAAAGAATTTGACATTTTATCAGTTTTTGGAGAAAAACAACACTAATTTAACTGATTTAATGTTTCTCTTGCTCTACAGACATTAAACATCTTGTGCTGTGTGCTTTCTTAAGTATAAACCAAAAGTTATTCTGTACTTTTTACTCTGTTTAATTCATGCTACATCAGCATCTTGTTTAACTCAGTTTTCACGTTTTGGAGGTCCCAGCCCTCAGAGATAATCTTTGCAACATATGTACTCAGTTTACCATGAGGCATTGTGGGTAAAAACATCAAACAAGGGCCAGATGTTCTGTGTTACATAATGCAGACCCACTATACATGTCTTTGTGACTGTAAATGCTCATTCACACTCCTATAAGACATTTGTGTGTAAGAAGAGGTGTGCTAAGGGTAACAGGTTCAGCAACATGTGTCCTCCATGCACACATGCATGAACAGACTTATTGCCCTCTTCCAACAATGAATATAATCAAGGCTGATATTTTCTCATCAAATCCAGTCCATGTGTGCCTGTGTGTACATACGAGAGGCCACATAACTCTATCCATCTTATTTTTCAAACCTATAGTTTCTCTCCTGGGCTTATATTTCTAAATCCAAGCACTCTGGACCCCATATGAGAACTCCAAAGCCACTAGTCAGTCTGTCATTTGTGGCTTTTACCTCCATACTGCAGTTTCCTCGTAGCCTCATTTCAAAGAGCTGAAGACAGATAAAACTAAATATTTGAAAGAAAGACAAGGTGTTTAAGGATAAGTTCTTGGTGAAGAAACCATCTCATTCTGTCCTTATTCAGATATCTATAGTCTACTGTTAAATTACATAATCTAGCACTAATGTTTTTTTCAGTATTTCGGCAAGTTAGACCCACAGTACCTCAAGGATTTTTTGGAAAAAAAGATACATCAAACTCCTCAAAGACAGCTCTCTAACTTGGTTTTTACTGTCAGGGACTCTTGACTCTTTGCTGGTTATCCACATGAATTTGAAATGTTCACCACAGATGAAACCCTAAAAATGTTGATTTTGGGTTAATGGTTTCTACACTCTTTTCACTGAATTTGTTTGACTTTTTAAAGTTCCTCTGGTAAAGGAAGCAAGCGTGAGCCCCATAAAGAAAAGCAGTATTCTGAGCGTCTCTTTAATTGTAAAATGTGTTAATCTGCTGTACATCTAAAGGGACAAAACATGCCTCACAAACATCCAACTCCACCAAACTAAACCTCTGTTGCTCTCTCTCTCTGTCGCTTTCAGGTTGTGACAGCCATGTTGACCTTGTGTTTGAGACTACTTCTGCTCCTCCCTCTGGTCAGCTGCATCCCCTCCTCCTCCAAACCTCCTTCCAGACTGTGCCGGCGGTGCTGTGACCACCATGAGCCCCCAGCAGCCACCACCAAATATCAGATGCCCGAAGTCCAAACTATCATCAACATGACAATCCTTAAAGGTACCACAGCTCGGATACACTCCTTTATTATCTGGATAACTTGCAATATACCGACATGAGCTTTAATAAAGCAGTGCTGCTGAAGGCTAAACATTTACAGTTTTTCAGCACTGAGACCAAAGCCAGACTTTCCTTAAACAATGAAGCTGGATGCTTCAATCTGGAACCATTTATACAGTCAGTCTGTGGTTAGCGCTGTGAAAAGAACCAGACTGCTGTACAACAGTGACTTTAAAGCTTCTGACAGTGTACGTCAAAGGAAATGCTTCAGGATCTGTGAATCTATGTAAGCTTTGACATTTGAATGTCTACATACACGGTTACAGCTGTACTGAAGGTATATCTTTAAGTCAAAGTTAACATTCGACAGAAAAGTGGGAACATTTGCTTTTCAGAAAGCCAAAATACATATACATGCTCAGTCAAGCCAGCGTGCTTACGAATAGCATCAAGAGACTTCATGACCTGTCACTGGATGTCCAAGGTTTGGAGATTTAATCTGAAACAGATGTTGAAAACCTTTAAGAACCATGCAAAGGTTACATCTATGCATTCATCCCTACATACGTTACATGGCACAAAGTTAAAGAGGCCCGGTCTGACAGAGATCTGCAGCCATTTTGACCCAATCTGGGATAGACTCAAATGTAAATAAACCTGACCCTATAATCTCTGTCAGGCAGCCTGTTGCACCTCTTTGTTTTCTGTAGAAGGGTAAAAAGCCACAAAAAAAGAGGGTTTATATGCACTGGAAAAAAATGATTTAGTGCATAGTGCGACTGAAACTGGACCTTTTAAGGTGGTAGTCTGACTAAAATCACACTTCACATAGTCTGAATAATACACCCAGGCGATACGGTTGGAGATTGATTTTCTCTGTCATGTATTCTGACCAACGAGCTGAAACTGACATTTGCATTCTGCACATGACCCCAGTGTTTGCCAGTAGTTGAACAGCATGGATATGTTGCCAGGATACCAGTTACTACCTGGACAGATGAAGTAAGAGAATAAAAAGATGAAACTTTCATTGACATTAGTTTTACATCATGAAACTGTATGAAGACCTTCAACAAAGCTTTACTCAAGTGCTGAAGTCTGGGAAACTTGTACCCCCTGGAAGGTCCTACACTTGTTTCCCATCTCTGACTCACTGTGGACCATGTCTTAGTCATACTGCGCGTATGTGAGATGATGATGGTGTGTTTGTGCTTTGCTGGTTCATCCAAGAGTGGTAAAGGCCCAGGGGGAAGCAGAAAGAGTTTGGAAAACGTGACAAGAGAAACAAGTGATTAAAATACAAGGATTTCCCACTATCTAGACACCACACATCACAGCTGGATAGGGATTTGTCGGAACATGTGCATCTAATATCAGAGTCTTAGCAGCCAACTCAGCTAGATCAGTCCAAGTGATGTGTCATCACTCTTCTGTTTTATCTGCTGGTGCTCTGATAGCTGGAGATGCCAACAGTATGACCCACAGTTAACCTCCCGAACCCATGCAACAACAAAAAAAACCTGTTTTCTTTCTCTTTTGTTGAACATTTATGGATCGTTGCAAACTTGCAGTACCTTATTTCAGTCAAAATTTTTCAAAATGTGTAACCATGACATTGTTTTTGTGTTTTTGAACCCTGTGCTACATATCAAAGAAGGATCCTTGACAAAGCTGGAAAGTCACGTTTTATCTTCGCTTGTTAAACCTGTTCAAATGAAGCGATGGTACAGAGTGCAGAGGTCCTAAATTCCAGCTGTGCAATGAGCAAGGTCTCATCATGTGCATATACCTGGCACTGAACCTGCTTATGTGGCAGAAAACATACACCAACTTTATTTTCCTTCGTGCTGCTCCGATTCTGACAGATGAGATGAAATCAATACACCCTGCTTTGATTGTGTTTGAGCTTGGGTGTGTTCCTTCAAAGCTGCAGTGACTGGATTTCAAGAGCATGACCAACAACCAAAATTGAACTTTAGAGCACAGTTAGCCAAACCACCTAAACAAAACCAGAACTCTCCCATGGAAAAAGGAGACAGTGAACCCACTTTCGTTTGACATCTATTAAATTTGATTTTACCCAGCTTTAATCTGTTGAGACACATTGTGTTTTTGTCTTTATCAGCCAGTTGTACTGCTGATGCAGAATAGCTGTAGGGCTGTGACAAAGGAACGTAATGAATTAAGCGACTAACAAAATACTGCATATTTGTGCAGAGATATACATATATTCAAAAGTACTTTAGAGTGTAACACTGTGGGCTCTATTTTCGTGCCTCGCCGGAGACGTGCCGCAGGCGCGGCGCAAGTCAGGTCCACCGTGCCGACAAGGCGTTCCCAAGCACAATTTGGTATTTTGGTGAGCAGCGCAGCCCGGCGTAAGTATCCCCCCTCCCTAACTCAGCTCCTCCCAGCGGCGTAAGTCGTAGTGAGGTAGGAGAGAGGGCATGGAGTGGGTTTAACACAGCCGAGACCTGTTTTCACCAATCACATAAGCTCCTCTCCTTGCCTTTGAATCCGCCACTGGCGAGGCGCATTATTATTTTCATGAAGTAGTCAAAGAGATCAAGAGATGTCTGAAGACAGTTCTGCCACACGATGGCGACAGAAGGCAGCCCCTCAACAAGTGTCACTGTAAGCGCTGCATTGGGTGTCCTCCACACTCTCTCATCTGAGCACAGATGGATTTGGTGTGTGTAATGTTGGACCCACTGGTAAGACAAACACCCCTTTCCACAAATAAAGACACTCAAATAAAGTTGCTCATATTCAAACCTCACGTGACAAAGGTGGGTTGAGTGCACAGATCACAACATAAACTCCAAAAATGGCATTAAAATCGGAACCATCTGTGCGTAAATGACGCATCGCGCTCTGTGGCCTGGCTCTTTCTTTCATAGATGTTGGCATATAAAATAAATTTGGCTCACAAAACTGAATAATATAATATTTGCATGTAGGCTTAGAGTAAATAACTCATCTGAGCACGGAAACAAATTATCTGTTCAGCCGCTGCAGGACAAAGAGAGGACACGGAGACATGTCCAGGTCGAGCTGCGCGATAAATAAGAGGAAGAAAGAAAAGGAGGGAGACGAATCACATATCTTGTTAACTTCATCATGTGTGTTTATTTACTAGATATTTAATTTAATTTAATGCGGTTTCAGCTGTGTTGATTCGGTCAGGTTGTGTGTCCAAACGCGTGCCAAACGCGCTCATCAGATCAGATATAGATCAGAATATATCTATATAGATCTAAATGTATGTGCTGACTCAGATTAATAGTTGATAATTATTTATTGCACTGAAATGTGCCTGACACTGTGGAAACCTGCCGGTGAGGCATCGGTGACGTATGCCGGTACGCCGCCGGTCTACCAAAAAACTACTAGACCAGCTGCGCTCCGCCTGCGCTGAAAGCTGACCAGGTTTGAATCGGAGAGCTTTCAGCGCACTTTACATGCCACTGGCGAGCACGAAAATGTCACTGCGCCTGTTGATTCTGTCGACACCTCCCCCTGCCATGCCGCCACGCCCAGCTTGGCAGATCTCAGTTCGCCTCCGTGCGCCTCAGTCCACGAAAATACCAAACTGGCTGTACACCGGGCTCCGCCAGACGAAAATACAACTGCGCGGGGTCCGCCACCCTCTGTTGCCTCACCGGCGTACACGAAAATAGAGCCCTGTGAAACAATTAGAAAAGAGGGTTTTCTCCCTAACTTTGCCTTAATGCGGCTCAAACACCACTTGTACTTTTAACCCTTTTCTGTAATTGCTCAAGTTTTCACAACAAAAACAAATAAAAATGCCAGATTGTATCACTGATTGATTGAAGGTACATCAGGAGACAGGTTTAAGGGTCAGTTCTCCTTGAGTTCAATAGCTTTTTGCTGAGATTTCATCATGCAGCTTGAATTTCTTTACACTTTAGTATGCTTCAGAATAGTGAGTAATGTAAAAATTCTTTGCCTTTAGACTTACCATGAAAAAATGGTTTAGGCCTCAAACAATGCTGTGAAACTACTTTGGACAGGACCACAATGAAAATTTGCTGTCAGCTCACGTCGGCCAATGGTAGGATCAGTTGATGTGCAGTGGGCTAAGCTTGTCTTTGTGTCCTGCCTGAACTAACACATTGATTTTCATTGACTGTTGTTCACCTTTTTAACATAGGATTGTTTACTGTCTCTCTGTGTTTAAGTTGTGTAGAGTTGCTGTTATTTTCTATAAGGGGAACAGATGCAAAGTGCAGAAAACCAACAGCTCAGTTGAAGGCAGATGGGATCAGCTGAGGGTACACTAGGAGAGCAACTCAAAGTACTTCTCTTCAGTGAAATCCTTGAACATCACAGAAATGGTTCAATCAGGGTTTGGGTTCCTTGGGATCTAAATTGTACTTTGACATACAGGTGATTATGGATATTCAGATAAAGAATAAGGCATGTGCAGAGGTGCTGCTAATGCGCTGCAAGTAGAAACTGATCTCGCTCTCTCAGGGCTCTTTGTGTGGACACTGGTCACAGCTGCATACATTATAACAGATTAACAGATATAAACAGATTGAGCATCTGTGCGGAGGATCACTGGTATTTACTCTAGGACTGCAGGGAGTGTTGGTCATGACGAGCAAGGGCAGCACTGCAGCAGTTTCATCACAACTGCTTCGTAGAGATATTGTAGTGAATCCCCGTAGGGTTTGTCACCTTGTGAACTAATATTGATCACGAGCAGCCAAAATGTGCAACAGCAGAGCATTCAGGATCACATTAATCATCAATACGATCCATATTATCAGATATGGCGTTACAGTGTAAAGAGTGAAAGAAAATTAAGAACTATTTATGGAAGCCAACACCTATTGTTCCCAGTAAGTGGTGCAATTTCTATGACTAAAATGTGTTTGAAAATGAGTTCAGGCTTGTACATTTTGGGGCAGATTGCACATTGCGTGTAAAAACTAGTACCATGTGTTTCCGAAAGGTGGCACTATGACTGTAATAAAAACAAAATATATATAAAAATATACTGTCTATAGCTGTACAGTTTCATGAGGTAGATAAAATAACTTCCTGTTCCATAGAGATACACCAAAAAAGGATGCATTGCAAGGGATACACCCTTGAGGAACATGCACAGTCCTGGGTTTAATTGGTTTAGGGTATGAGTGCAAAAGGATTTTTTGTAGGCCTTTGCATAATTTATATGCCTTGCTATTTTCATGCATGAAGACAGAACCTAGAGTATTGGATATTTGAAACTGGGATGACACTATGGCTTAGATTTGGAACATGTTAAAGCTGCCAAATTTTAGATTCCTGAAGGTAAGGAAGGACAGAGAAAGAAAAATGATTCCTAAATTCCTTTTAAGGCTTAGACCATGTTGTTAATGTTACCTCAGTGCTTACTCTTACTCCATCAGAGGGCAAAGAAGTTCAAACATTTAATAAAAATGTGGTCTGACTCAGCCTGTAAAACTCCCAACATGTTCACATTGTTTTAAACAGACCCCTCCTCACACTTGAAGAGAACATTTTGTCTTACTGGCCAAAGGAGCTCAGATTCCAAATAAGCGTTGGTTTAACTGAATCACTGTCGATTTATAGGAGAGATTTAAAAAGCCTTCCCCTAGTCTGTGTTCATGTCTGATCTGTGACAGTAAATAAAGACACAAACAGCTCAGTGTGCATTACACTGTGATAAGAATCTGTGAGCAGGAAGAGTTTTAGCCATTGATTTACTCAGTATGAGCTTCTCTTTAGTAAAACAAAGGTTGACCTCTGTAAATCAGAATTTTGGTATCTTTGGTACCAACTTTTGGCAGTAGAATTGCAAGGGTAATTCAGTTCAATACACAAGGAACACTGTCCAATAAAGTTCTACCGGCCTAATCTTTGGGTAGTGCCTCCTAGAGTACATGGACTTTGGGGTGGCACCAAACCTTTCTGACTGGTGAAGTACAGATTAATCCTTTCATTTTTTTATGTGATAAGCTCGAGGAACCTTTTAGTCTTTAGTAAAGAAGTTTGTGGACTAAAATTATCTTGCACATGCACAGGCATGCTGCTCAGAAAATCATTAGATTTATCAGCACATATTGTGGGCTTCCTGTTTGATGAAGCTTCCTCCTGAAATGTAGAGTAAAAGAGACCAAGTAATTGTAAGAGGAAACATAATCTTGGTAAAGTGATTTTTGGAAGATCTTAGTGTGTTTCCACTTCAGGGAACAAGTTCTTAATTAAGCCCAAGGGAGTTTCGTATCTGAAAAGCCCTCCAAGCCCTTTACTTTGGGTCATATCTTGCGCACTTTTAGTTCTTAATTGTTGGACTACAGCCATGGCTGTAACCTTTATCCTCCTGAAAGGAGGCTCTAGACCAAAAGTCTGTGGTACTTTCAGTCTGAATGTGACTAGTTTTTCTCAGGAATAGATTATGTCCCTGGAGTAATTATCACTCATCCCCGTTTCTCTTTCCCCTGTAAGGTGATAAAGGAGACAGAGGTGATAGAGGCACACCTGGAAAGCCTGGCTTGGAGGGACCTCACGGCTTTCGTGGACCCGTGGGCCCTAAAGGCAGCAAAGGCCAAGCAGGTGCTCCTGGAGACCCCTGCAAGATCCCTCACTCTTCCTTCTCAGTTGGACGTCGCAAGTCCCTGCACAGTGTGGACTATTACCAGGCGCTGGTGTTTGACACTGTCTTCGTCAACCACCACGAGCACTTTAACATGTTTAAGGGGAAGTTCTACTGCTTCGTGCCGGGGGTCTACTTCTTCAACGTGAACATCCACACCTGGAACTTTAAGGAGACCTACCTGCACCTCATGCACAACAACGAAGAGCAGGTGATCTTGTATGCTCAGCCCAGCGAGAGGTCCATCATGCAGAGTCAGAGCGTCATGCTGAATCTGTCTCTGAACGACGAGGTCTGGGTTCGACTCTACAAGAGGGAGAGGGAGAATGCTGTTTACAGCGACGATGTGGATGTTTACATCACTTTTAATGGATACCTGGTGGCACCTGGCTTCCAATGAAAATGGAGTAAACAGATTAATGACAGGAGTGACAGAATCTCTGGGATTATTTGCTCTTTTTTGCCATAGATACTTCTCTATGCCAATAATTCAGAGCCAAATAGTGGACATTGCAAGTTTGGTGCTTATGAAATATTCTTCTCAGACTGGAGAGGAACAAACTTTTTTTTAATGAGGCTGCCCAAAAAAAACTACTAGGATAAAAAGGAACAGAAAAGAGAAAGGTAGCACAGTCTGAATTAGGAAAGAATGTTCAATTACTTTCTGAATCAAAAAAGGAATGCTTTCCCTTTTCTGTGCTGTTCTCATTTTAGTCTTGAATCACCTTTTTCAGGGAGTTTGTGAACACAAATAACGTGCAATCAGCAATGTATTTGTTCCATGGTGCTTTTTTAGAGAGTTTCTGGTAAAGTTGAATAAATCTTGACTGTTGCTTGTTTTTTACCTTAAAAAAATGATTATTTTGGTCCTTTCTTTGGAGGAGGTCCGTTCACCAAAAATACCTGAAGTTGTCCCAGAAAAAGTCAAACTGTGCAAGTAATCTTTTGTCATTGAATTTTAAAGCAGGTTACAACCTACCATGCAGCAACAGGTGGAGAGAGGAGAGCAGGGAGAGGAGCACTATCCACTAAAGACAAATATGCTCCAAAATGCAACTAAGGTGAAAAGGACCTCAAAGACCTAGTGCTGAGATCCTTAATTGAATTGCTCCCTTGCTTACCTCTTCCTCTGGGGAAACTCTAGAGGTGATGTTGGCTAAATGTAATAATTTCCCGAGAAACTTCATATGAACAAAAGGTGCTTCATTAATGTTTTTAACAAGACCTTAGGGATTTCAAGTTTGAATAGTAGGCATCTTTGTGGACTTCAAACTGCAGAGCAGTTTGTGTACATATTTGTGTGATGCCTCTCTGCCTGGAAGAAATCAGCACTAGTATTCACACACTTTTGCTGTTCTGTGTAAGTGTGAGGGCTCTATTCTTGTGCCCGCTGGTGGTGAAGCAGATGGTAGCACACCCCGCGAAGTGGCATTTCCGTCTGGCGGAGCTCGGCGCACAGTCAGTTTGGTATTTTCGTAGACTGAGACGCACAGAGGTGCATCAAGCTGGGCGTGGTGGTTCGGTAGGGGGAGGTGTCGACAGAATCAGCTGGTGCAGTGACATTTTCGTGCTCGCCAGCGCCATATAAAGTGAGCTGAAAGCTCGCTGATTCAAACCTGGTCAGCTTTCTGCGCAGGCGGAGCGCAGCTGGTCTAGTGATATTTTATCAGACCGGTGGCATAGTGCACATATGTCACCGATCACTCACCGGCAGGTTTCCACAGTGTCAGGCACATTTCTGTGCATTAAATAATCAACATCAACTAATATTCAGTGCAACTATCTGAGTCAGCACATACATTTAGATCGATATTAATATATTCTGATTTATATCTGATGAGCGCGTTTGGCACACGTTTGGACACTCCACCTGAATCAATTAACTCAGCTGAAACTGCATTAAATTAAATATCCAGTAAATAATCACACATGATGAAGTTAACTAGATATTTAATTAATCTCCCTCCTTTTTCTCTCTTCTTTCTCGCGCAGCTCGACCTGGACATGTCTCTGTGTCCTCTCCCTGTCCTGCTGCTGCTGCAGCGACAAGGCTGGACAGATGATTTATTTTAAGTGATCAGATGAGTTATTTACTTTGAAAATTTGAATAGAAAAAATTAAAGAAACTTTCATTCAAAATTACATGTTTATCTGATGTTCTCAAATCCTAAAATTTATGTGAATATTCAATCCAGATTGAGGCACACATATGAATGTTATAATATTCAGTTGTGAGAGCCAAATTTAATTTATATGCCAACATCTATGAAAGAAACAGCCAGGCCAGGGAGCGCAATGCGTCCTTTACACGCAGGTGGTTCCAATTTTAATGCAATTATTGGGATTTATGTTGTCATCTGTGCGCACAACTCACCTTTGTCATGTGGGATTTAAATATATGCAACTAGATGTGATGTCTGCATTTGTGGAAAAAGGGTGTTTGTCTTACCATTGGGTACAACCTTACACACGCCAAATTCCATCTGTGCTTATTTGAGAGAGTGTGGAAGACGCCCTCTGCAGCGCTTACAGCGATACTTGTTGAGGAGCTGCCTTCTGTCGCCATCGTGTGGCATTGCTGTCTTCAGCCATACAAGATACAAGATACAAGATGCTTTATTGTCATTGCACTTTTGCACAATGAGATTGCATTTACAGATGGGGAAAGAACACACAAGAGGGAGGGAGAAGAGGTCAAAAAAGAGACTGCTCTCATTAATATGAGTGTAGTGACCAAAAAAACCCTCAGCAACATAAGCACATTACTGACACCACATACACAGAGATTCGGAGACATGCTTGGTTGTTGAGGGAGGGGGGGTAGTGGAATGGGTCATCTGTAAGGTGGGAAGCCCGCAGCCACTGCCCATAGTGTGCGCCACCAGTGTGTGTGAATGTGCATGTGTGTGAAGGTTCATGGATGCGTGTGTGCGTAGGCCCAGGAGGTCACTCCGTCCATTGCCACAATCTTGGTGACCTTGATTGGGTTCAACACGAAGTCAACAATCCGCAGGTGTCTGTGAAGGAGGGGTTTGGGGAGGAAAGTTCAGAGCGTCGAATTGCTGAGATCTCCTGGAGGAGTTGTGCCAGCGTCGACCTTGGCCAAGGCCGATACCGAGGGAGCCGAATAGTAGATTAGAATGTTTGGGTAAGGGCGAGTAGCCACATTCCAATAGACTTCAGCTACTCTAATTGTCCATCCTGGTCTCTGTATCGATCCATTTCTTTTGCAAAGTTGAAAGCCTCTCCAAGATGACATCTCCCTTGCGATCCCCAATCATAACTTGATGTTGAAGATTGGAGACCGCCCCAGAAAGAGTTCCTACGGCTTTTCCCACCTCAAAAATTATAACGGTCAGCCTCTGGGGGCTCTTGATCGCTGCCAGTATCTCCTTGTTTTGTAGATAAATCAGGGCTAAGCAAAGGCCAAACAGCAACAGACCTGTTATCATGGTTCCGAAAAGGTAGACATCTTCCACATCCTCCACGGAAAGGACCGACAGGCACGCGACGCGCCAGTTCCCCCAGCCATCTCTTAATCTCTTCGACTACTGCACAAAAATTGTAATACGCCTCGCCAGTGGCAAGTTTAAAGGTGAGGGTAGGAGCTGATGTGATTAGTGAACAGGTCTCCGCTGTGTTAAACCCACTCCATGCCTTCTCCCCTCCCTCTCTACGACTTACACCGCTGGGAGCATCTGAGTCAGGGAGGGGGATACTTATGCTGGGCTGTGCCGCTCACCGAAATATTAAAGTGTGCTTGGGCATGCCTTGTCAGCGTGACTTACACTGCGTCAGCGCCACGCCGCCAGCGAGGCACGAAAATAGAGCCCTGAGTGTTTTTTTTCCTCACTCAACATCTTTGCTCTGTATCTCCGAGAAACAAAGGGACACTTAATAATGAAAACATCACAAGACATTCATAGTCACTTTTCTGCAGAGAAATCTGATATTTTTAATTCTTAACAAATGACACTGACAACTTTACGACTTGGCTCTTTATCAATCTACTCAATCCAGTAAGGGGAACTGGTGTTGAAGATTTGACTTTTCAATTGGCCAAGTCTTCCAAATCAATAAAAGTAACAAACAAACCCCATCTCAAACTCCCAGAGACAGCGGATTGTCTCTGCAACATGCCAGCTCCATCTGTTCAGCCATACCCCTCCCATTAGCCATAATGCTGTCCTGAGGGAGAACTTTGCTGGAGGAAAGCAGACTGCAGTGTTGTAAATACTTTAAGCCTCGAGTGGAGATCTGAAAAGCTCTACAGGGATGCAAAGCAGGACATCTGAACACTTTCCTGGATCATCTGCCTGAACCATTGCGAGCTGTTTCAACATGCACAGTCAACAAGCTGTTTCTGAAATGAGCCATGGTTGATTGAAAATACCTTTGGGTGTATTTTAGCCTAGCTTATGTTTGACTGAATGAAAGAAGATTCACCTACCTGAGGGGGCATTAAATTATTTTACTATAAATGCTTAATAAGAGGGTTAAAGTACCAAAATATGTATTCAACCAGGAGTTAAATAGTGCTTAGAGAAGATGCTCAAAAACAAACCTTTGTCCTTCTTAGCTTGGTTTGTTTGGACACACAGCAGCCGTTTCATTTTCACTAAGAGGAGGTGGTGGTAACTTGCTTCAAAGAGAAGAAAGAGATGAAAATTACCACATGAGCATGCCAGGCCAGTAAGTGGCAATTGTGTGTAATCAGTCACCTCAAAACATTCACTTATTCGTGAGTGTTAAAAAATTAAGCTAGAGTGACTCACTCACGCTGCAGTAGCCAATCAGCATGGAGATTTCCTGGTGATGTACGTCAATATGGAACAAATTGATCGCCAGCTGCTACCTGAGCTATCAGATGAAACGTAGACAGGAGTAAACGGAGGAAAGTGAGGGAGGGGGTCGGTGTATCTGATAAGTTGTGCAAACATGATAGCAAATCTTTACAACCTTGTCTGTGCTTGGTGTAAACAGGCTGAAATGTAATGGAGAGAACCTTTCCTCTCATACATAATGTGTTTGGGCTCTCCGGGAGCAAGCATAGAGAGTGAGTCAATCATACAAATGGAGTGCGTACACAACACACTCCACAACACAAAACATGTTGTTGTTTAAAGTCGCGCAAATTAAGTCAGTAATATTATTATTTTTTTCTAATGTGAAAACAACATTAGATGTACACGAACCAGTCACTTGCCATTTGATGCATGCACATTATAAATTGACATCAAATGAAGCTTCAACTTTTGGTGACCTACAACCCTGGCTACGGATGGATGGGATGTCCAAATACAGAGATATAATTATGTTTCTGAAACTGGACGAAGCCCTCATTTCACTTCACTTCACCTCACTCAAATAATGAGTCACATCAACTGAAAAACATCAAGAAATTCAAAGTATGCTATTTGTCTGCTACATGCCTTGTTCCTCAAGGCCATAAGCAGCAAATGGATCCCTGCCAACATTTCTAAGTCTCATGATGTATACAGGAGCCCATAGTGCAAAAACACCAGTGTATCTGCTAGATAAATCGCCAAGGGGCTGAGTGCTGCAGACCAAGTTGTTCTTGAACATAAGAGTCAGACATAAATCAAACTTTAAAATCCTGAAAAGACACCTCAAAATTGCAGTTTGGATAGAAGAAGGAGGGTGAATAACCTGTGATCTTTTCAAGTCATCCAAAACTAACAGACCAATAACATCCCTCTGTAGAAAAAAAAAAAAAAAGAATAAATGCCGTATGAACATGAAGACAACAAGAAAAACATGATTTCATCAGAGTGGGTCTTTGAGCAACATTTCAGACATTGTAGGCTGCAAAGGTCCAAGAGGACCAGGAGATTTACAGCTGAGCAGAGAGAGAGTCTGTGTCAGCAGTTAAAGAATCAGTACTTACAGAATGAGGCACAGTGAGGTCTGTAGCTTTCCAGCTGTTATGCAAGTAACCAGGCAGAGGGGAAACTGGAGAGCGATGCTGGCATGGTGGGGGGAGGTTTTTCATAAATGTTATGAGACTGGGAAGACAGTCAAAGACACTTTTATTTGGGTTTATGAGTTTGAAGACCAAGCCCCGTGGCTCACAGCTGTTTTCAGGGCTGCTCTAACTGAGGCCTGTTTTCTCATAGATTAGAAACAGGAAGCAGGCAGATTGGCGAGGCAGCCCTCTCCTAATTACAACCACATGACCTCTGACCACAGTCATCTGTCAGCGGGAGGCAGGACGGCGGGAGGGAGGCAGAAGGAAAAATGAGCATAGAAAGGGAAAACAGATAGGAAAATGGACAACTGGGAATCTATGTGGGGAAAAATACTGAATCAGAGGAAATAAATCTAAGTATTTAGGGCAGATCAGCACAACCCAATTAATCAGAAAAGTACAACTCCCTCAACCAGGAAAGCTCACTGTGTAGGTGTTAAAAAGTAAGTGGATCAGATTAGAGCATTTTGGAGCACAATGCATCTGCTAGAGAGCACCATACAGGGTCAAAAGTTAGACCAGAGAAGAAGAGTCAAAAGTTCCTGACAACAAACATGGCAACAGTAAAGGTGCTTTCAACTCAAAAGAAGAAATTGGAGGCAGCATTTCTGATGGTGGTGTTCTGTGAGGCCAGTCAATACTTCCATCATTTTCCCAAAGTATTCTTCTGTTACAGTTTCGCTGGTCTCGGTGCAACTGTTGGTCACACAACCTGATGTGATGCTATTCCTGAGCATAGGCGTTCCCAGAAGAGCTAGAGCTTTTTCCTTTAGTGGACTAAGTGAATTCAGGTAATGCAATCCACAACTGTGAAAAAAACAGTTAAGAAGAGCCTGAATGTAACATTAGCAACAAGAAATGTTTTACCCATCTGTTCATTCACCAGTTCATCCATCCATCCATCAAACAATCCACCTATCCATCCATCCATCCATCCCTCTCCCTAGGACCTTTTTAAGATCCTCTTAAGGCTTTCCTAGGTAAGATGGGATGTATAATCTCTGGGTCCACCTGAGGTCTCGTCTCAGTTAAACATTTCCAAAAATAAAACTTCAAAAAGGGAGGCACCCATTACTTCAACTGGCTCTTTTTAACATGAAATAGCTGCAGCTCTACTACAAGCTCCCTGCACAGCTGATAAGAGGTGCTAGTTTCTATAAGAGCTAGTAAAGTAAAAAGAGTAAACAGAGATCTAATGACAGTCATTATACATAAAATACAGTACAGTTTGTTGCATGTTGTTTCCATAGACTGTATATAGAATGGACAGCGTCTGCCTCCTTGCTGGGTGAAGCCACTCCGAGAACAGCACCCTCTGTTGATGGGCCACAGTACAGGTCATAAATTCCGCCTCCGCCAGCAAAGCTTATGTGGACAAACTTTAGAATTTATTACACAGAACATAAATTTTTCTCCCCCCCTGCTTGTGATGTTGACATGTAGTTACTGTAAGACTGGTTTGTGCTCAAGTCCTCTTTTTTTGTACAGCTCCATTTTTAAAAGTTATTAGGGGGTTCATGTTTTCTATGATTGACACCTGATACAGCCTATGGGCATTCAGGGATTTCGTAGCTCACCCGGGGGATATGCTGTTTGAGCAGAGCTTCACAACAGCGACTCTTGGCGACTGCGCAGCTGAATGCGCGCATGGCTACTGCGCAGCGCTGGTTTCAGGAAATGAAGAAAAATCCCGGAAATACCGAGAGCTTTTTGGCTTCAAATCCGTATACAGGCGGTAGGTGGTACCAAGTTGTCCATAGTACATACAGTCTATGGTTGTTTCACTATGAGCACTGGGAATTTGGATCTTGTAATCATTTAAGTCTGTACCTGAACAAGGTTTATCCAGTTTGTGACAAAGAGGTTGTCACTGTTTGAGGATGTTGAAATGTTAGGTCAAAAAGAGACACATGCATCCAAAATTGTTCAATCAAGTCATTTATGAATTCATCTCACTCGTTTTATAACATGTTGCTCTCCTCCACAGCTCTAAGATGTAAACAGAGCTGAATGCTAAATGCTTCCTTGTAAAGAGGGGAGCACCTTCAGATGTGCTGATAGTGGAGCAAACCATGCTTAATTAGGTGAAAGGTTATCTGGCTAAATTGTTTAAATTTTGTGGTTGAGGAGGATATTTGTGGGTAAAACAGTGACTCCATTGATGAAATGTGTTTTTTTAAATTGAATGTAAGTATTAAAGTGAAGTCTATTGAGTTATTGTGGGAAATTTTGAGTTAATTGACAGACAGCAGCTGGTTGGTCTCGGGAGGGAGGGGCATTTTTTTGTTGTTTTTCTCACTTTTTCTGTAAATAAATGCACCACAATCATTCACGGGATTCAAGCCATCATGTCCTCATTTTCTGTGGACCCTTTTTGCAACAGTTTGTCTATGAAAACAGAAAAAGACGAACTCTGGATTTCTTGGATTCACCAATCTGGGTTATTCTAATCCAGATTAAACCTTTGGAAAGACCTGAAAAGACAGAGTAGACAAGGAGTCGTGCTGAGAGAGAGCCAGCAAACCAACCATACCGGCACTTCCCAAAATAAGCAACATCAATTCTGAGACCTTTCAGACAGCGGGAACACACTAGTGAGATTGTGTGTCTGTGTTGCTTAATGGAGACATATTAAGGTCATTTAGAGTTTTATGTTGGCACCAGCCTGCTGCAGTTTGCTCCTCTTTTTTTTCTTTACTTAAACTTTGATGGGGAGCAAGAATTTTTTGGCATGTGAGGTACAAGAGAAAGATTTACTTAAAAGTTGTGCAAACACCAGCCAGAGGAAACTATAAACAGTATGTAACACAGTATGTCAAATTAAAGAAGACAGCTAAACACAGTTGACAACAGTTTGTACTGCTTATAATCTGATTGAGATTAAACTTTACAGTATTTTTTGTAGGAAAGAATCGATACAGTAGAAGAAACAGGTTATTCAGAGAGAAGCTGAAACTAGTCAGAATTGTTAGCTGTTGACTCCCATTTGTGAGAATT